TCTCTCTTATATTTTCTGCAGTTAGCTAAATAAAATATTCAATTAAAAAGTTATCAAAATCAAACTAATTTGAGTCTTTTAGTTTTTTAAGTGCGTACAGGTTGCCTTTTTTTTTATTTATAGCTAAGTAGGTCTCCTTAAAAGCTCCTTGACCTATGATATTCTTTGAAACTTTCAATAATATTTTTTCTTTTGAAACTTATTCAATAATATTTGGGTTGTTTTAATCCAATTAAAACTTATAAGATATAAAGCAAGCTTCATCATTATATTCTATATCATCCGTATTTAATAAGTCATTTTCTTAGAGGCATTAAAATATTTAAGAGTCTTTAGAGCCCAAATACTCTTATTATAGAATTATTTTTTATTGATAATCTTTGATTTATTATTTAATTTGTATGCCTTTTTATACTTAATTAGTTTTTTCTAATTGTTTGACATATTAAAAAAATTCACCAAACGCAGAATCTGATTAAGAATGATAATAGTTTTTTAAAATGTGCTTAGAAAAATTTGTATCTTCGAATATTTCTTAAATCAGTTTTTTATCATTCTTGAATACTAATTTTTATAATACTTAAATCATCTAATTAGTTGAGTCATTTATTTTGTAAAAATACATGTCTACATTAAGGTCACATATTTATTTAAGTAACTTTTTTAATTCTTCTCCATCATCTTCTGGAAAATGGTCATTAGCATTATCGTCATGAAATTCCTAACCATGGCAGGGAGCGTCTGCAATCCACACCAAAAGGTTTAATGAACTTTACTTCCATTGAAGTTTGATAACCTCTTATAAGCCAATTTAAACATCTTCACATTAATCATCTCCTCCTTTGTAATTTAATTGCTTAATAAATTGTTAAAACTGATCCAGATTATCTGTAAAATCTATTTTTTCTACGCTTTTATCATCAGTTCTATCTCGATAGGCAACCATACTTACATATATCTTCAAATCAGTTTACTAAACCTATTTTATACTTTTACAAATCTTTTCTATTTCTTGCCTAACTTTGTCAACATATCGTTACATTGACCCTGTAGCATCAACAAGGAAGCAAATTTAAATAGATTCTTTTGCATTAATAGAAAAAGCTGGCATTTCTAATTAGAGCTTGACTACCTCCTTTAAGTTAAACAGAAAATTCTTATTTTTAAAAAGAAAAATACTTGGTAATTATTTGATTGCTAATTGCATATTTGCTTCTAAATTGTTAATTATGTTATTCTTAATTCAATAATAAATCTTACTATTATTTAAATTTTGATATCTGTTTTCTTTCCTTTATTTTATAATGAAGAAATTTAGTATTAAACAATTCAATAAAAGGGTTTTATTTTAAATAGTTATTTGTTTATCTTAATTAATTGAATGAATAATACTTGAGTTATTAATTAATATTCTAATTTCAAAGTACTTACATGAAGTAGCATTTAAATCCTGTCTAATCTGTTTTTTGAGAAATTCAAATTAGAATAGAATCAACAAACATTCTTCAAAAATATCTTAAATTCTCTTCTAAAAAATTAAAAGTTTGATATTAAATCAATCTTTGTTAGAAGATACTATAAATGCAATATGTTTATTTCTACTCGCAAGTATTGTAAACAAATAATCTTGAACTAAAAATTTATTTATTTAATAGATTATTTAATCAGAGAGAAATTTTTTTGTGATATTATTTATATTTTGTAGACAAAGCCATTCAAAATAAAAACATATTTTTCTCTTAAAAATATTTTAAAATTAAATACATTTAATTATTATTTCAATTCAAAAAGTAAAATTATAATTGAAATTGAATTATTTAGTTTGTTAATTACTTAATTAACTCAATTTAAGAAGACAATATTAAGAAGTGCTCTTTAGATGAATAAATCACATTAAAAATAAAAAATCAGCATTGATAAAGATCAAGAAAATATTTTTTTAACAATTTATTAGAATGTAATTATCAAAAATACATTTTCTATGATTTAAATTTATATGTTTACAAAATTTATCTTTAAAAAAAGGTTCAAAATTTATAATTGATCATAAAATGTAATAATAAATTATTTACTTTCATAAAATGGAAAAAGATTGATTGATTCTTTAATGAATAATTATTTTACTTAAATTTATTTTTCATACTTATAATATATTATACACTTGGGTAACATAAATTTGTCACTTTTAAATTTATATTTTTATATTTATCAACTGTCTTAAATTTAAAATTTATGATGAAAAAAATTCGAAAAAATATTTAAAATTTTAATTTTATAAAATGTAAAAAGACGGTATATAAAACTCGCTTTTTGTAAATTTGTATGGCAACTTACTCTATATGTTTTAAATACAAATATAAATATTAAATAATGAATGTTAAATTAACATTTCTCTGATATCTCTTGATAAAACCAAATTTAAAAATTAATGTTTGATAATTAATTAATCATTATATTTTATTTGTTCTTTTTGTACATTTTTAATTAATTAAATTCCATAAATTGCTATTCAATATTTTTGAAAAAAAAATAAATGATACAATAGATTAAAAAATATAAAAATTTAGAAGAAGTAATTATTAATTTTTTTATTAACATCCTTCAAATTTATATAAATTAATAAAAAAAGGTTTTAAACTCTTCGCTTTTATCTCATTAGGTTCTCCATATTGATCTGAAGTATATTAAATATTATTTTTATTTTTATTAATACTTTTTATATATTTATTTGACTTTCAATTTATTTAAATAAATAATTTTTCTATTAGAAATTACCATCATTATTCATTGATTTTATTAAAACAAAAATTTTTTAGTTATTCTATAATTGGTGATGAAGGTGCATCAGGCTTAGGTTCTGCTTTAGCAAATTGCATTAATCTCTCAAATTTGACACTTGACCTTAGGTAATAATAGTTTACTTGTTATGGATTGTGATATTTTTAATTATAAAAACTAATTAAAAACAATAAAGCTCTTTTTTCTTTTTCATTTTATTATGCTTGCTTTTTTTTTTGTTCTTTCTTTGTTAATTGAACTCATCATTTTATTTTCAACTTTTGCTTTTATTATTAATTAATCTTATTATTTCATATTTTTTCTTCATTTTTCCTTCTAATTAACTATTTAATTATTTATTTTTTCTTCAATATTTAAAAAGTGGCAATGAAATTGGTGATGAAGGAACATCAGGCTTAGTTTCTGGTTTAGCAAATTGCATTAATCTATCAAATTTGACACTTTTACTTGAGTAAAAACAGTTTATTTGTTTTGAATTGTGATATTTTTAATTATAAAAACTAATTAAAAACAATAACTCTTTTTCTTTTTCTTTTCAACTTTTGTTTTTATTATTAATTAATTAATCTTATTATTTCATATTTTTTCTTCATTTTTCCTTCTTAATTAACTATTTAATTATTTATTTTTTCTTCAATATTTAAAAAGTGACAATAAAATTGGTGCATACATACATACATACATACATACATACATACTCGCACATGGTTACATGCACTCGGGATAGGGGCCCTATATATAATTACTTATACATTATTATTATACGTATACCAATTTATTTATATATAATTGTGGGTAATATACTAGAAGGGAAGGGTCACCTACACCCTAATGGCATTTCTACTAATCTTCCATGATTTGACTACGCATTATGCTCGCTTTCCATTTGTATTCCAGATCTTCTGTTCAGAATGGGGCCTCCTCTTTACCACCTATCAGATTTGGCCCTTCCCTCCTACCAAGGAGACCGCTGGTAACATTCACATTTTTACATGGAATTTTTCGAAATAAAGGGGGCGGTATAGGATTCGAACCCCCGATATCACTGCTAAGACCCTCCGACTCGCCCACTCGAGCCGCTTAGCCCTTCTTTTAAAATTGGTGCAAAAGGTGCATCATGCTTAGGTTCTGGTTTAGCAAATTGCATTAATCTATCAAATTTGACACTTTAACTTGAGTAAAAACAGTTTATTTGTTTTGAATTGCGATATTTTTAATTATTAAAACTAGTTAAAAACAATAAAGCTCTTTTTTCTTTTTCTTTTTATTAAACTTGCTTTTTTTTCTTCTTTCTTTGTTAATTTAACATATTATTTTAGTTTCAAATTTTGCTTTTCTTATTAATTATCTTATTATTTTATCATATTTTTTCTTCATTTTTTCCTTTTAATTAATGCTTTAATTTTATATTATTTCTTAAATATTTAAAAAGGGACAATTAAAGTGGTGATGAAGGAACATCAGGCTTAGTTTCTGGTTTAGCAAATTGCATTAATCTCTAAAATTTGACACTTAATCTTTGGTAAAACAGTTTATTTGTTTTGGATTGTGATATTTTTAATTATAAAAACTAATTAAAAAAAATAAAGATCTTTTTTCTTTTTCTTTTATTATGCTTGCTTTTTTTTTGTTCTTTCTTTGTTTATTTAACTCATCATTTTATTTTAAACTTTTACTTTTATTATTAATTAACCTTATTATCTTCAATATTTAAACAGTGGCAATATAATTGGTGCAAAGGGTGCATCAGGCTTAGGTTCCTTTTTAGCAAATTGCATTTATCTCTCAAATTTGACACTTTAACTTTAGTAAAAACAGTTTATTTGTTTTTGATTGTGATATTTTAAAAATAAAAACTAATTTAAAACAATAAACTCTTTTTTTTTATTCTGCTCTCTTTTTTTTGTTCTTTCATTGTTAATTTAACTCATAATCATATTTTTCAATTTTAGCTTTTATTATTAATTAATCAATCTTATTATTTCATATTTTTTCTTCATTTTTTCCTTCTAATTTATCTTTAATTATATAGTAGAAATTAAATTTGTGCAATGAGTGGATTAAGCTTAGGTTTTGGTTTAGCAAATTGCATTAATCTCTCAAATTTGACACTTAATCTTTGGTAAAAACAGTTAATTTGTTTTGGATTGTGATATTTTTAAATATAAAAACTTATTTAAAACAATAAAGCTCCTTTTTCTTTTTATTTTACTTGCTTTTTTTCTTCTTTCTTTGTTAATTTAACTCACTCATCATTTTATTTTAAACTTTTGCTTTTATTATTAATTAATTAATCTTATTATTTCATATTTTTTCTCCATTTTTTCTTTTTATTTAACTTTTTAATTATATATTATTTCTTCAATATTTAAAAAGGTACAATTAAATTGGTGGTTAAGGAGCATCAGGCTTAGGTTCTGCTTTAGCAAATTGCATTAATCTCTCAAATTTGGCACTTGACCTTAGGTAAAAAGAGTTTATTTGTTTTGGATTGTGATATTTTTAATTGTAAAAATTAATTAAAAACAACAAAGCTCTTTTTTCTTTTTCTTTTTATTATATTTGCTTTTTTTGTTGTTGTTTCTTTGTTAATTTAACTCATAATTTTATTTTCAGCTTTTGCTTTTATTATTAATTAATTAATTAATCTTATTATTTCATATTTTTTCTTCATTTTTTACTTTTAATTAACTCTTAAATTTTATATTATTTCTTCAATATTTAAAAAGGGACAATTAAATTGGTGATGAAGGAACATCAGGCTTAGGCTCTGGTTTAGCAAATTGCATTAATCTCTCAAATTTGACACTTCTTCTGAAGTAAAAACATTTTATTTGTTTTGGATTGTGATATTTTTAATTATAAAAACTAATTAAAAACAATAAAGCCCTATTTTCTTTTTCTTTTTATTGTGTTTTCTTTTTTTCTTTTTTCTTTGTTAAATTAACTCATCTTTTTATTTTCAGCTTTTTTTTATTATTAATTAATCTTATTATTTCATATTTTTTCATCATTTTTCCATCTAATTAACTCTTTAATTATATAGTAACAATTAAATTAGTGAAATGGGTGCATCAGGCTTAAGCTCTGCTTTAGCAAATTGCAACAATCTTACAAATTTGGCACTTTACCTTTTGTAAAAACAGTTTATTTGTTTTGGATTGTGAAATTTTTAATAAAAAAAATAATTAAAAACAATAAATATCTTTTTTCTTTTTATTGAGCTTGCTTATTTTTTTTTGTTATTTCTTTTTTAATTTAACTCATTATTTTATTTTCAACTTTTATTTTTATTACTAATTAATCTTATTTTTTCATATTTTTTCTTCATTTTTTCCCTTCTAATTAACTATTTAATGATATATTTTTTCTTCTATATTTAAAAAGTTTGAATGAAATTGGTAACAAAGGTGCATTAAGCTTAGGTTCTGCTCTAGCAAATTGCATTAATCTCTCAAATTTGACACTTGATTTTCGGTAAAAACAGTTTATTTATTTTGGGTTGTGATATTTTTAATTATTAAAACTAATTTTATACAATAAAGCTCTTTTTTCTTTTTCTTTTTATTGTACTTACTTTTTTTTATTCTTACTTTGTTAATTTAACTCATCATTTAATTTTCAAATTTTGCTTTTATTATTAATTAATCTTATTATTTTATATTATTCTTTCATTTTTTCCTTCTAATTAGCTATTTAATTATATATTTTTTCTTCATATTTAAAAAGTCACAATCAAATTAGTGAAAAAGGTTCATTAGAATTATGTTCTACTTTAGCAAATTGCATTAATCTCTCAAGTTTGAGACTTGATCTTCAGTAAAAACAGTTTATTTGTTTTGGATTGAGATATTTTTTACTATTAAAATAAATATAAAACAAAAAGAATTTATTTGTTAGTTTTTTATTTGATTTTTTATTATTATCTTTTTTATTTGACTAATATTATTTTTTTATTAATTTAAAAAATAATTTTTAATTTAATTCAAATTTACACAAATTTATTATAAAAGTTTTTACTAGATGGATAAATCATAAAGATTAATAAACAAGTGTCTTAAATCAAAAAGATTAGTTGTCTTTAAAAAAGATACGCGATGATAAATAAGTGGAAAAAAAGGATGAATAAATATTAAATATTTAAATAATTGAATATTAAATGTTTTATTTTTTAATATTTTGAAAAAATGTTTTTTACCTAAAATATATTTTAAAAAAGTTGTATTAAAAACGTGTTATTTTGAAAAATATTTAATCTTGCCACCTAATATTGATATATATAATAGTTAGTCTTTAAAAATATTTGATAAGAATTAAAATTAATTAATTAATTAAAAAATATCTTAGACTTTAAGTTATATAAAAAAATGTTCTCGTAAAAAAAAACAATAATAAAATATAATAATTGTTAAGGAGATATATAATAAGTAATTGATTTTAAACTTAATAGTTGCTAATATTGAAATATTTTATTATAAAAGTTTGTAAACTCTTCTCTAAAATCTCATACCTATGTTTAATTTGATCAAAAGTAAAATATTTATTAGATTTATTTATTAATTAATTAATGCATTAATTTTATTAATTTAAATTCAAAACTAAAAAATATTTAATAAATAATTTTACTAATAGAAATGATTTTGTTAAAATATTATTTTTGTTTCAATTATACATTATTTATTTATCCTCTGTTTATTTTCCTATAAATTTTAATCTAATTAAATATTTTTTTATTCATGTAATAAGTTGGGTTAACATTAGCTTAAAGGAAGCATTAGAATTAAGTTCTGCTATTGCAAAATGCACTGAACTCCAATCCTTGTTAATTAATTTAAAGTTAACTAATTTTTTTTTAATATAAATTTTTTTGTTTTTTGTATTTGCTAGTGTATTAATTTCATTTATTTTTAAGAATGATTTTCTTCAAAAGTATAATTTTTATCATCTTTTTTTTGATCCTTTCACTTTCTTTTAAAAATATTTATTCAAATTAATTAAAAAGTTAACTTGATAATTTTGATTAGTTTGCTGTAAATTTAGGTTGTTCATTAGTAAACTGCATCAATCTTAAAACTTTGGAAATGTATCTCTTGTAAGTTAATTTATTATTTTAAATTTTATTTGAACAGAAACAAACGCCTTTTAAATTAATTATTTTAATAAATTATTTAAAAAATATTTATTTAATTGAATTTAAAAGAATATTTTTTAATTACTTATTTTTTTTGATATTTTCTAAAAAAAATATAAAATGATAATGAATAGCTCAAACAAAATGACAGATTAAGAAGTCACTGCTCTTACCTCTGTTTTAGCAAATTGCCTTAATCTTTCAAATTTGACTCTTTTCTTGAGGTAACAATAATAATTTACTTTACCTTTTTTTATTTTTATTTTAACAATAAATCCTAATTAAAAACAAATAAATTTTAATTTTAATATTTTTGAATGAACATATTTTAAATATTCCAAATAAATTATTTAAAATAAATAATGAGAATAAGTTTCTTATTTTGTTAAAATAAATTTTATACTTTAATATAGAAATAATTAAATTGGCGATTAGGGTGCTAAGTAATTAGGCAATGCTTTAGCAGAGTGTTCTAATCTCTCTACTTTGTAACTCTTATTAAAGTAAAAATAATCAAATAATTAATTTAATATTTCTTAAAAGTTAATTTTAATCAATTTAATTTTATTGTTTTACTTTTTTGAATAATTTTTAATTTATTTATTTCTTTAATGATGCTTAACTAAGTAATTAATATTTAGGATCTAAAAATTAATATTTTTCCTTATTAATAATAAAAAACTTTCAATTAATTAAAAGTGAAAATCAAATAACTGAATAGGGTGCAACAGATATAAGCTATGCTTTAGGAAGATGTGATAAATTGTAAAACTTGACATTTTAAATGAAGTAAATATTGATCATTATTATTTATTAATAATTTTTATTTTTAGATTTATAGATTACTGTAAGTTCTCATTCATTCATTAATTAATTCACCCCCTATTATATAAACCCCAAAAATTAAAGATTTTTGATTTGTAGATTATCAGATTCTATTGGTTTTTAATATCTGCAATCATTGCTATGTATATTTATATATTTCAGAGTCAATATTTTTAGCATAAATTGAAGAAATTTAATTTGTAAAATTTTTAATAGAAAAGATAATGTGATAAAATAAAATTAAGAAATTTTCTTTTCCCTTTGCCTTTATTAATTTACTTACTTACTTGTTTTTGCTTTTAATTTACTTATTATTCTAGTTCAATTTTAAGTAATAAATTTATTTAACTTATTTAAAGGTAAAAAGAAATTGGGGATTTAGGTATATCAAATTTGGCCTCAGGATTTAAAAATTGCATTAGTCTTTCGAATTTGTAACTTTAACTTAAGTAAAAATAATTTTTTAAGACATGAATATGTTAATATCTTATTTAAATTTTAACAGATTAAAAAGAAAGAACTAAAACGATTTTTTAATTATTCATTTGTTTATTTTAACATTAATATTACTTTTAAATTAATTTTTTCATATTTATTCTTTAATTTATTTTGCTATTTAATGATACACACCACTCAATGCTTAACTAAAATTAATTATACGTAATTTTTAATTTTTAGTGGTTTAAGTGACAAAAGCGCGTAAATTCTAGGAGCTGAATTAGCAAAGTGTACTAATCTATTTCGTTTAAGTCTCTAGTTTTTAAAGTAATAAATATTTTTTACTTACTTATTTAATTAATTAATTTATTGTATTTATAAATTTATTATTTTTTGATTTAAACAATGTGAAGAATTTCTGTTGAAATTTTTTGATTTTAAGAATTTTTAGTAATTAAATTAAAATATTTAATTGATATTAAAAGAGAAGGTTAAATCGAAAAATATTGTGCTAAATATTTGGTTTCTGGTTTAGCAAATAGCCCTAGTCTCTCTACTCTCGTCATCATTTTTGAGTAAAAAAATACTTAATCAAGTTATTTCCTAATTTTTCTAAATTTTTTTTTAACTTTCAATAAAATGAAATATTTTATTGATTTATTTATTTATGTATAATTTTTCTATATGCTTAAAGCCTTTGCAATATTGAAGATGAAGTTGCTCAAAGCTTAGGTACAGGCTTAGAAAAATGCACAAATCTCTCAAGTTTGGAACTTTTACTAGAGTAAAAATAGATTATTTATTTGAATTATGAAATATAAAAATATCATAAATATTTTTATTTACTTTTTTAAATATAAAATGAATTTAAGATCTTTGATTTTTTTAAATTTGAGGTTTAAAAATTTTTTTATTGATATTTTAATAAATATTTTTTCTTGAAAAATTTACTTTTGAATGCCTTATATTTTTGGTTAACTTATTTTAAATTGCATCATCATACCTTCTAAATAAATTTTATTTCTTAATATGTTTATTAATTAAAAGATGGAATAGAATTGGACCAATAGGTGCATAATCTTTGAGTTCTGCCTTAGCAAAGTGCAGTAATCTCAGAAATTTAAGAATTAAGCTAAAGTAAAAAAAAATTTTTTTTTTCTATTTATATGCATTTCTATTTAATTAAAATTAATGATTTAGTCACTCAAAGATATGTTATGCCTGTGCTTTTTATTTGATTTTGAAATGCATTTATATTTCTATACTTTTTTTTTCAAATATTTCATTGATTAACTTAAGCCTAATTTAATTTAATTAATAATAGTAGCAATAAAATTACTAATAAGGGCGCATTAGCTTTGAGTAATTCTTTTATTAACTGCACGAATCTCTCCAAACTCGTGCTTTAACTTAGGTAAAAATAAAAATGGTTTGCCTGTTTATTTATTTTTAAGGAAATAGTTTAATTAGTTTAAAACAAAAATTACTTATTTTGCTCATCTAATTGAATGCTTTTTTATTCAATCATATTTTTTATATTTATTTACTCGTTTTTTAAATATTAAAACATAAATTTATATTTAAAAATATTTCAAGTTCCAATTAAATTGGTAATGAAGGTTCAAAAAGTCTGTGTACTAATTTAGCTAAATGCACTAATCTCTAAAGTTTGAATATCAACCTAAAGTAAAAAATTATTAATTTATTTAATTTTATTTTATTTTAATTTGTGAGCTTTCATTAAAAAAAATAAATATATTTTTTATGTTTGAATAAGTTTTAAATTTAAATATTTTTTTCTTTATTTCTTAATATTTTTAAGATTGAAATTAATTCTAAAAAGTTACAATAAAGTTGGAGAGTAGAGTTTATTAAGCTTAAGTTGCTCTTTAGCAAAGCTTGCTAATCTCAAAAACTTGGAAATTTAGCTTGAGTAAATATTCGTTTACTTATTTATTTATTTATTTATTTACTTATTTATTTATTTACTTTTATCAAATGAATTAAAAACAAAGCAAACAAATTTATTTTATAATTTATTTGTTTAGTTTGTTTGGTTTTAATATATATCTATTAAATAATAGGTATTTTAATTTATATTATTATATTCATTCAATTTTTCTTTATTTTTTAAATTTGATAACAAAATATTATTAAAATATTTATAGGGATAGTTTAATTAAGAACTAATAAGTTTTAAATACTATTGTTGATAAATGTACTAATCTCAACATTTTGAAACTTAAATTTAAGTAAAAATAAATTTATAATTTCTAAATTTAACTTTTTTTCAGTAAATTATGATTGTTTTTAAGTTATAATTTTTCTTTTTGCCTAACTTTAAAAGAGGAAACTTACTTGGAGTAACAGTTATTAAGGAATTTAAACTAAAAGTTCTTAAAATCTCTAAATTGGTTGAGAAATCTATCTAGATTTTATGAGTATTTCTTGCAAAAATCAAAAATTATTTTCAAATTATAAATAAAAAAAATTTAAAATGATTTATTTTTGTGAATAAATATTTTATGTTAATTGTATTTTATTTAAATTTATTCTAAAATAACAATTTTATAATAAAATTTTTGACATATTTCAATAACTAACTTTACATATATATAGTAAAGAGTTTAACTAGGTTTAAGATATTGTTTATATAAGAGAATTTTTTAATTTTAAAAAAAATATTTCTAATTTGACACTCAACCTATGGTAAAATAGTTTGCTTACTAGCTTGCATTAACACTTTTATAGTTTATTTTTATTAAAAATAAGAAAAAAATATTTTTTTTAACTAAGAATTAATATTTTTTATAGATTTTTAAATTTTCATTTTTCAACTCATGTCTTTTTCATTCAAATAATTAAAAATTAACTAAGACATTAAATTTGAAAATTAAAAGCTCCAATTAAATTGGTGAATAAGGCCACATTGACTTTAACTTAGGTCTAGAAAAATGCGTTAATATCTAGAATTTAAATCTCTGGCTCTCGTAAAAATAATTTATTATCATTTATTAAAATGATTTGAAATATAAATTAATAAAAAATATCCTAGAATCAAAACAATTTATTTTGATTTTTTGATATCTTTTTAATTTATTCACTTTTGAATTTAAAATTTTTTTTTTTTTCAATTTAAGTTAACTCTTTGTATTAAAAAAATTATTGTTTAAATTAACTTGTTTTTAAAAATATATTTAGATATAATTAAATTGGCAATTTAGGTGTATCTAGTTTAGGCTCTGCTCTTGTTAAATTGATGAATCTTTCAACTTTGTAAATAAATCTTAGGTAAAAACTTATTTTAATCAAAAGATGATAATGATAAATAAAGTTTTATGTATTTATTACATTTCTTGATATCTCTTTTTTATGCTTTCTATTGAAATTTTAAATTTTTTTTATCAAAATTTGATTTAAGATTTTTTTATTTTAAGATAGATTTTTAAATGAAAGGAAAATTGGTTTATTAATACATCAAAATTTTCAATTCAAACCTTTTTTACTTCAGATTTTGATTTATTTATTTATTTATTTTTGATATTAACAAAATTATAAAAAATATCCTATCTAAAAGCTTTAACTAAATTAGTGGAGAAGGTATATCTAGCTTAGGAATTGCTTTATCTAAGTGTGCTAAACTCTCAACATTGAGTCTTGGTCTCTAGTAAAAATATTTTATTTATTGTCTAAACTGTAGTAATATAATATATTCTAATGAGTTAAAAGCTATCAAAAAATAAATTTTATATTATCTCTATCTATGATTTATTTTCTCCTGATATATTTTTATCTTATTTTTTAACTAATTAAATATTTAAAAGTTGTAATAAAATGGTTTAACATGGTGTATCTGATTTAAGTTCTTCTTTAGCTAAATATCCTTCTCTTTCATATTTAGATTTGAGCCTTTCGTATAAATGTTTTTTTATTGATTTTAACTCTATTAATTGAATAATTTTTAAATAAAAAATTCAAGTTTTATTTTAAAATAATTATGTTTTCAATTTTCATTTATTAAAAGTTAAAATAAATTTTTTCACAGAAAATATTTGAATAAATTTATAAATAATAAAAAGAAATAATTCTTTAGGTGAGCATGGTGTATCAGATTTGGGCTAAAATTTAGCAAAGTGTGCAAAACTATTAAGTTTAATACTTTCTCTTTAGTAAAAATAGTTTTTTATTTAGCATTATTTAGGTTAGCCAATTTTTAAAAAAATAGAAATTATTCATAATTAATTTCTCTCTTTTTAAAAGACAATATAATTATTTTCTTGATTAACCTTTTTTATTCTATCAGCTTTATTTTGTAATTTTTAATTTTAACTAATTTTATTTAAGAAACAATCAAATTGGAAATTAGGGAGCTTTAAATTTATTTTAAGGCTTAAAAAAATCAAATACCATTTTGAATTTTGAACTCTATTTTTGGTAAAATTATTCAAGTTTTTAGTAGCAACTCCTTTTTAGAGAATAAAATTATTCATTTATTTATTTTTTGTAATTATTTGATTTGTAAGTAAATTTATTTGTTTATTTATTTATTTTTCTAATGTTAAGTATGTATGTATTTTTATTAAATTTAATTAATTTATTATTTCATAAATTAAAATAATTTAAAAGGGGCAATCTATTATAAATGCCATAATTACTAAAATTAAGATAGACCGCTATTAAAATGACCAGATTAGTTAAGAAAAAATTGTTTCTATAATGAATTGAATAATTATTTAGACTTAATTCATAGAAAGCTAGCTAGTTTGCTTCTTTAAAAAATTTGAAAAGCAAATTAGTTTGTTTATTATGTAAAAATAACGTTTTTAAGATTTAAATAATGTATTCTACTTTACATAACAAACAGTAAGTAAGTATTGCTTCTTGAATTTATCTTCAAAAATAAATAAATACATATATACTATTTTATTATTTTCATAATAAAGCAAACAAACCCTTTAGCATTTTGTGATATTAAAAAATAATTTTAGCTAATTTAAATAGATTTATTTTAACAATTTATTAATTATCATTCATTTTTTTATTTAAAATAGAAAGCAATTTAAAGATATTTGATTTATCAATTTTTTATTAAAAATTTTATTTTTATTATTATTAAATTATTGTGGTTATTTTATTTTCAATTTATAAACCTAAAATAAAAGCAAATAAATCATCATTATTAAAAAAATGATATTTCAAATAATTTGATATTTTTTTATTATTTACAAGCTATTTATTAAAATACAAAAATATGATATTTATAAATATAAAAAATAATAAAATCTATCAATCAATCTATCTATCTTCTATCTGTATTTTAGGTTAAAAAACTTTTTCAAAATATTAAAAAATAAAACATCTAATATTCAATTATTCAAATTTTTAATATTTATTCATCATTTTTAGCCACTTTTTTATCATTAGAATCTATTTTTAAAGACAACTAATCTTTTTTATTTAAGACATTTGTTCTTATATTACTATGTTTCTGATTCAAAAATGTAGTTATTACTTTTATAATAGATTTATGTAAATTTAAAATAAATATTCAATAAAATAAACTTTTAAATTAAAAAAATTATTACTTAAATTAATAAATAAAATAGCATTAGTGGAATAAAAAAGATAAAAAAATAAATCAAATAAAAGCTATCAAATAAATACAAGGAGCTTTTTTGTTTAATATTCATTTTTATAGTTAAAAATTTCACAATCCAAAATAAATAAACTGTTTTTACTACAGATCAAGTGTCAAATTTTAGAGATTAATGAAATTTGCCAAAGCAGAAACTATGCATGATGCTTCAAAAATTTCATTACTACTTTTTAAATATTGTAGAAAAAATATATAATTAATTAGTTAATTAGAAAAAAAAATGAAGAAAAAATATGAAATAATAAAATTAATTATTAATAATAAAAGCAAAAGTTGAAAATAAAATGATGATTTCAATTAACAAAGAAAGAAGAAATAAAAGCAAGAAAGCACAATAAAAAGAAGAAGAAAAAAGAGCTTTATTGTTTTAAATTAGTTTTTATAATTAAAAATATCACAATCCATTATAAATCAATTATTTTTACTAAAGATTAAGTACCAAATTTGAGAGATTAATGCAATTTGATATACCAGAACCTAAGCCTGATGCACCAATTGTACGAATATAATTGTAACTTTTTAAATATTGAAGAAAAAATATATCATTAAATAGTTAATTAGAAGGAAAAAATGAAGAAAAAATATTAAATAATAAGATTTATTAATTAATAATTAAAAGCAAAATTTGAAAATAAAATAATGAGTTAAATTAACAAATATATAAGAAAAAAAATAATGAAGTTCAATAAAAAGAAATAGAAAAAAGAGCTTTTATTGTTTTAAATTAGCTTTTATAATTAAAAATATCACAATCCAAAACAAATAAACTGCTTTTACCTAAGATAAAGTGTCAAATTTGAGAGATTAATGCAATTTACTAAACCAGAACTTAAGCCTGATGCACCTTCATCACCAATTTCATTGCTACTTTTTAAATATTGAACAAATAATATATAATTAAATAGTTAATTAGAAGGAAAAAATGAAGAAATAATATGAAATAATAAGATTAATTAATTAATATTAAAAGCATAAGTTGAAAATTAAATGATGAGTTAAACAAACAAATAAAGAAGAAGAAAAAAAGCACAATAAAAAGAAAAAGAAAAAAGAGCTTTATTGTTTTTAATTAGTTTTTATAATTAAAAATATCACAATCCAAAATAAATAAATTGCTTTACCTAAGATCAAGTGTCAAATTTGAGAGATTAATGCAATTTGCTAAACCAGAACCTAATCCTGATGCACCCTTTCCGCCAATTTAATTTTCACTTTTTAAATATTGAAGAATAAATAAATAATTAAATAGTAAATTAGAAGAAAAAAAATGAAATAATAAGATTAATTAATAATAAAAGCAAAAGTTGAAAATAAAAATGATGAGTTAAATTAACAAACAAAGAGGAAAAAAAAAAGCAAGCAAGTACAATAAAAATAAAAAGAAAAAAGAGCTTTATTGTTTTTAATTAGTTTTTATAATTAAAAATATCACAAATAAAAAAACAAAAAAATGTTTTTACTTAAAATAAAGTGTCAAGTTTGAGAGATTAATGCAATTTGCTAAAGCAGTACCTAAGCTTGATGCACCTTAGTTACCAATTTAATTGCACCTTTTTAAATATAGAAGAAAAAATATACAATTAAAAAGTTAATTACTAGGAAAAAATGAAGAAAAAATATGAAATAATAAATAAGATTAATTAATAATAAAAGCAAAATTTGAAAATAAAATGATGAGTTAAATTAACAAATATATAAGAAAAAAAATAATGAAGTTCAATAAAAAGAAATAGAAAAAAGAGCTTTTATTGTTTTAAATTAGCTTTTATAATTAAAAATATCACAATCCAAAACAAATAAACTGCTTTTACCTAAGATAAAGTGTCAAATTTGAGAGATTAATGCAATTTACTAAACCAGAACTTAAGCCTGATGCACCTTCATCACCAATTTCATTGCTACTTTTTAAATATTGAACAAATAATATATAATTAAATAGTTAATTAGAAGGAAAAAATGAAGAAAAAATATGAAATAATAAGATTAATTAATTAATATTAAAAGCAAAAGTTGAAAATTAAATGATGAGTTAAACAAACAAATAAAGAAGAAGAAAAAAAGCACAATAAAAAGAAAAAGAAAAAATATCTCTATTGTTTTAAATTAGTTTTTATAATTAAAAATGTCGCAATCTAAAACAAATGAACTGCTTTACTCAAGATTAAGTGTCAAATTTGAGAGATTAATGCAATTTGCTAAGGCAGAACCTAAGCCTAATGCTCCCATTGAACCAATTTAACTTTCACTTTTTAAATATTGAAGAAAAAAATAAAATAAAATAGTTAATTAGAAGGAATAAATGAAAAAAAAAAATGAAATAATAAGATTAATTAATTAATAATAAATGAAAAATTTGAAAATAAAATTATCAGTTAAATTAACAAAGAAAGAAGAAGAAAAAGGCAAGCAAGCAAAAGAAAAAAGAGATTTATTGTTTTAAATTAGATTTTATAATTAAAAATATCACAATCCAAAATAAATAAACTGCTTCTACCAAAGATTAAGAGTCAAATTTGAGAGTTTAATGCAATTTGCTAAAGAACCTAGGCCTGATGCACCCATTGCACCAATTTCATTGCTACTTTTTAAATATTGATGAAAAATTATATAATTAAATAGTTAATTAGAAGGAAAAATAAAGAAAATATATGAAATAATAAGATTAATTAATTAATAATAAAAGTAAAAATTGAAAATAAAATTATCAGTTAGATTAACAAAGAAAGAATAAAAATAAGCAAGCAAACAAACAAAATAAAAATAAAAAGAAAAAAAGAGCTTTATTGTTTTAAATTAGCTTTTATAATAAAAAATTTCACAATCCAAAAACAAAAAATGTATTTACCTAAGGTCAAGTGTCAAATTTGAGAGATTAATACAACTTGCTAAACCAGAACCTAAGCCTGATGCAACCAATTCACAAATTTAATTGCTAATTTTTAAATATAGAAGAAAAAATATATTATTAAATAGTTAATTTTAAGGAAAAATGAAAAAAAATATGAAATAATAAGATTAATTATTAATAATAAAAGCAAAAAGTTGAAAATAAAATGATCAGTTAAATTAACAAACAAAGAATAAAAAAAAGCAAGCACAATAAAAATAAAAAAATAAAAAAGAGCTTTATTGTTTTAAATTATCTTTTATAATTAAAAATGTCACAATCTAAAACAAATAAACTGATTCTACCGAAGATGAAGTGTCAAATTTGAGAGATTAAAGCATTTTGCTAAAGCAGAACCTAGGCCTGATGCGCCTATTGCACCAATTTCATTGCTACTTTTTAAATTTTGAAGTAAAAATAAATAATTAAATACCGTAATCTCTCTTTAAAACCATCCAACCGAATTCCGAGAGGGAGTTGACAAATTAAGTTATGGTTTTAAAAGGTGTGATTCGGAAATATCCGAAATCCGAGGAACGAGGTAACTAGAGATTACGGTAGTTTATTAGAAGGAAAAATGAAGAAAAAATATGAAATAAAAAGATTAATTAAAAGTAAAAAGTTGAAAATAAAATAATTTTTTAAATTAACAAAGAAAGAAGAACAAAAAAGTAAGTAAGCACTATAAAAAGTAAAAGAAAAAAGAGCTTTTATTGTTTTTAATTAGCTTTTATTATCAAAAATATCGTAATCCAAAAACAAAAAATTATTTTTACTTCAGACGAAGTGTCAAATTTGAGAGATTATTGCAATTTGCTAAAGCAGAACCTAAGCCTGATGCACCTTCGTCACCAATTTAATTGTCACTTTTTAAACATCGAAGAAAAAATATAAAATTAAATAGTAAATTAGAAGAAAAAATGAAGAAAAAATATGAAATAATAAGATTTATTAATTAATAATAAAAGCAAAACTTGAAAATAAAATTATGAGTTAAATTAAGAAATAAAGAAGAAAATAAGCAAGCAATCACAATAAAACGAAAAAGAAAAAATAATTGTATTGTTTTAAATAAGTTTTTATAATTAAAAATATCACAATCCAAAACAAATAAATTGTTTTTACCCAAGATCAAGTACCAAATTTGAGAGATTAATGCAATTTTATAAACCAGAACCTAAGCCTGATGCACCTTCATCACCAATTTAATTTGAACTTTTTAAATATTGAAGAAAAAATATATCATTAAATAGTTAATTAGAGGAAAAAATATGAAATAATAAGATTAATTAATTAATAATAAAAGCAAAATTTGAAAATAAAATGATGAGTTAAATTAGCAAATAAAGAAGAAAAAAAGCAAGCAAGCACAATAAAAAGAAAAAATAGCTCTATTGTTTTAAAATAGTTATTATAATTAAAAATATCACAATCCAAAACAAATAAACTGTTTTTACCCAAGGTCAAGTGCCAAATTTGAGAGATTAATGCAATTTGATAAACCAGAACCTAAGCCTGATGCACCTTCATCACCAATTTAATTGTCACTTTTTAAGTATTGAAGAAAAAATATATAATTAAATAGTTAATTAGAAGAAAAAATGAAGAAATAAAATGAAATAATAAGATTAATTAATTAATAATAAAAGCAAAAGTTGAGAATAAAATGATGGGTTAAATTAGCAAATAAAGAAGAAAAAGAGCAAACAAGCACAATAAAAAGAAAAAAAAAATAGCTCTATTGTTTTAAATTAGTTATTATGAGGGGGGGGGGGGGGTCACAGCCAGGGACCCAT